GATAACAGCGGAGCTATCTCAGCCGACAGGCTGCTAGTTATACATTGGGCGAGGTTCTGGAAAAATTCGCAAATGTCATAAAGTGCGTTTGAAAAAAACAATCCGTCGTGCATAGCACGTTCGAAATACACTCCGTCGATGAATATATCGCCACCGGCACCGTTGCTACTGCGGCTGCACATCAAGGATGCAACAAGTTCGGGTGTTTTTTTTAAGTGTGCTAAAATTAACGGTTTTTTGTAACTCTCCGTTTTCACGAAACAACACAGGTACGAAGAACATTCGACATCGCCGGCAATCAGATTGACTTTTGTTGGCGAAGAGACGTAACAACTGTCGTCATCATCACCGTCTCTGTATTCGACTAATGCACTCCACCAACATAATTTTTCTTGAATAAATTCTTGGAAAGCAATTGTTTCTATTCGTTTTAAACATTCTCCCCGGGTATCGCTTAAGGCCATCTCGATTTTGTTAAGAACTAGTCTGAGAACGGGTTATTCGTCTATACGACCACAACCAAATTTTTGATAGGTCGAATAGATGAAGGAGGTTTGTTGAAACGGCAACAGGCTACCCCAGTAGTGCGAAGCTACGTGGGCGTAAGAAATACACGCAAAAGCATCTTCGAAACATTCGTCTAATTCTATACTTTCCATATAGACTGGATCACCGCTCGTGCATGGTAGTCTTTGGGTGACGTAATCTAGATGTTGATCAAACTCGAGTTTGTTGTTCACTGCCGCATACGATTCTGGTATGAAGTTGAGTGATTGACATCGGCCAGTCAATCTAGAGATGGCTTCGTACAACGAGTAAAACGTGACACCGTTCGACCGATCTAAGCACGTCAGTAGACGTGGGAAAGCCCCTTTACACCAACCGTACATGTACAGCGTACACACTGCGTCGCATATATTTGTGGCGTAAAGAACTTCCGTTTTATCTAATCTGTACGTTAGATTTTAATTCGATCAAAACGTAACCGCATCTGCCACCGATGCACGGATTTTTCTCTTCGTCGTTATAGATATGAATTGAAGTTTGATCACCTCTATCCAAAATCTCTTTTTCAACCGTGCACCAAGTTTCGTTTGTCAAACGATTTAGGTACATCATTTCGACATCGGTAAACCACGTGAAATCGGTATTTAAATGACATTTCTTAGCCAGAGCGTCTTTCCAGTATCGGTCTTGCCCTAACCCAATACATAAAATATCACGAACTGCACACACTTGTTGAAATTGATTCATTTGTTGTGTTTCGTTTGGTGGTGATGATGATGCAACGTC